GTTTGAACCGATTAGGCTAGGCTGGGTTGACTGTGAAGCGTGACGTTATAATTAAATTCTTGAGTCGCTGACAAAATCGTAGTAGCAGCGTATAGTATATAATGTAAACACAGTGTAAACACCCCCGTATTTAGGGGGCTATATGTACTGAATTGACCCGGCTATCCCCCACGGACCCCTAATCTGCACTCCCTTGACCCACCTATCCCCCAGGGGCTGCACTCCATTGACCCGGCTATCCCCCCAGGGGCTGCACTCCCTTGACCTGGCTATCCCCCAGACCCCCAATCTGCACTCCCTTGACCCAGCTATCCCCCCAGACCCCCCAATCTGCACTCCCTTGACCCGCCTATCCCCCCAGCCAATCAGAATCCAGCATTTTTGACCTCATTTGCATAAAAAGTGCACTCAGTTGACCCAGCCATCTAGACGCCTTATACTACTAACGTATACAGAAGACAATGGGGCTGGCATTTTGTGGGTTTTTTTACGAGACCTAACGACTTGTTTGTTTGTTTATAGCAAAGTGGGATGCACTTTTGAAAACTTAATTTTGCTGATAAAAATGTGCTTTTATTAGAAATTGGTTTGAAATTGAAACTTTTATGACCAGTTAGACTTGTATAAAGAAGTTATTTACATTATGTAAGACCAAGAATAAGAAATTTGATTAATCATTTTCATTAATTTTCCCAACGTAAGTAAACAATATTGATTTCTGCTCACATATAGTCCATTGTCTTTGAACATTTTCCATGCGCAATTAAGGCACGTACCCTATGTTCTAAATTAATGAAAAAGTCTCATTATGCATATCTTTATACGATATATTTTTCTCCGAGTCCAAAAAGCAGTTTCTGTTAGTGTTTAGAGCTTCCTTAAGTAAATTTTGTTTCAATCAAAGCTTGAAAATAGCTCTTATATCGCAAATAGGAACAGCAGGGGCCCGTTTTACTATGGAACTTGCGACTAAGACCAAAAACTTGAGCAGATTGTAAAATTTTGTTAAATTAATGATTGCGTTTAAAATTGCAATTGTGAAAATATCTTTACACCCCTTTTAAAAAGTTTAAAACCATTTACAATTGAATACAAAATAAAGTTATATCCAGAATGAATTTTGATCTTATTCAAGCCTTCCAGAATTTCTCATATTCACAGGTACTTGGGTCGCGGTTCATATTTATGTATAATGTACCTTATCTACCTATCAATAAGGTACATTATAATACATGTACATATTTATAAACCACGACTCAAGTACCTGTGCTCATGTTGAGACGTCACCATTTGCTCATTATGATACTCTTTTGAGTTAAACCTACGTCAAGAAATCCAAGTTGTTAGAGGGTCTGCTCTAGAGTCGTGAAGTAAGGAGTTGATCCTTACGTCGTGGTTTCGAATCTCGCTGGGGGACGTGTAGAGTCCTTCGGATGAGACGGTCTAAACTGAGGTCCCGTGTTGCAGCAGGTGCTGACACGAAAAAGATCCCTCACTGCTCAATGGCAGTAAGTGTCGAGTATAGCAGCTCTCCACATACAAGTGGCGGCGTCGCCATATGAGTGAAAAATTTTCAATATGGACGTTAAGAATTCCAAGCTTTCGTTCTGACGTTTAACAGCACTTGGAATATCAAAATCGTAAGAAAGTCTGGAAAACGTGAAATATTTAGGACTAGTAGTATAGATTTCAGACTAGTAGTTCTTCGCTCACCTGAGCCGAAGGCTCAACTGAGGTTTTCTGATCAGATTTTGTCCGTCGTCCGTCCGTCTGTCTAGCTGTCCGTCCGTCTGTTAATTTTCACATTTTCGACTCCTAAAGAACCACTGGGCCAATTTTAACGTAAATTGGTACAAAGCATTCTTGGGTGAAGGGGAGTTTAAATTATCAAAATGAAGGACCAACTCCCCTCACAAGGATAGATAATCAAGAAAAAACAAAAATGGGTGGGGTCATTAAAAATCTTTTTCTCCAGAACCACTGGACCAGAAAAGCTGAAACTTATGTGGAAGCATCGTGGAGTAGTGTAGATTCTAAATTGTTCAATCATGACCATTGGGCGTTGGACGGGGCCACAATATGAAATCAAAGTTTTACATTAGAATATATAGGAAAAATCTTTAAAAATATATATATAGTCAAAAGATGAATATGATTATCTAATGAAATATGCAAAGAAGAGTCAGGAAAACATTTATATTTTATTTAGATGAAATGATTTATTTGTGAATATGTTTGGTACCTGTAGGGAAAATCATCAAGAATTAGATCCGCCAAGGTTGCAAGAATGCTCCTACTAATATGCAAGATTATAGATGCATAATTACTATTTTAATAAATATTTTGTTTTAATAAATATTTTATAATACATGTACACATTGTAAAAAGACTAAAATCCTTACTGATTTTTCTTCTCATTTTTATTACGTAGTCAAGCTATGCTTGTACTTTGCATTTATTACCAGCAAAGTTAAAACCCCGAGGCAAATAGAAAAATGCCTCCACCTTACTCCCCCAAAACCTTATAGAATTAAATAAATGGAGTATTTTATTATTTCAATGAGGAATCCTTAGTTCAAAGAATTCCTCAAGTGGAATTTCTGAAAGATGTAAAGAGTCTAGCTCGGAATCAGAAATTAATCTTTGACGAATGTTAGTTTTTTAGAAAAATTCATATAGAGTATTGTTTTATAAACACGCATAGTAATGTCGTTAACTGATTTTTATTTGAAAATTTAAATAAGTACATGACTGTGCACAAATTTTAATTTTCAAATAAAAACCAGTCAACGACACTATAATTTGTACTCTTATTAAATAAAAACTTTGACCAGGAAAAAAAAAGAAAAACAAAGATCCTACCTTGTGTTTTTTCCTAAATCGTATTATTTTCTAAGGGCAGGTACTCACATAGTTTGTTTTTAGAAAGCCCTTCGTATAAAATACATTTAGATAGCTTTACGCGCAAAGAGTTAAACTTTGAATTTCTTTTTACACTGACGAATGATGATGAATCTGAAAAGTATTATAGATATATTTGACAAATAAACTGTAGACCTGGTACACAGTTCTCTATCCTGTGCACTACATATTTCAGAAAGCATAAAGATATTCATTTCTTGGTAAAAATGTATTTATAGTAGGCCATCTTTAATCATGTTAATAAAATTTTCCCTCTCGATGCAAGGGGAGGTGGTAGTAGATATTATTATACTTTCATGTTAAATACTAAAATCTGATTGGTTTAGACGCAGTTAACAATCCGTTCGATTACCCTGAGCCTTAGCAACACACGTGACAACGGGTAACACAACGGTAATGCCACATGCGTGGAAATTATGCGCGTACGGTTCACCGTAGAATTCTCAAAACGTCAGTTGCGCGTTTGAAAGAACCGGAATTAACTTGACGTCAATAAAAGCTTGCGTCCGATAAAGCTTACTTGAAAACAACAAACGACAGACGATACATGCTTGCGAGTGTAGGAAACATGCTTGCGAGCCAGAAATAACGAGGCTTTATATGATAAATGACTCTAATTCGAGTATCAAACAAACAATAAGGAGATTAGTGAACCGGTGAGTGTGAAATCTTTCTATACATGAACGTAAAGACGATCGACGGTTTTTTTTTTTTGCTGACGTCCTTAATCAATAAGACATTCAGTATAATAAAATAAATGGTGCCTGTTTTGAAGGGTAACATTTGAAATTGACACCCCTCGGAAAACCACTGTCAACCTCCGCTGACGCGTCGGTTGACAATGGTTTTCCTTGGGGTGTCAATTTCAAATGTTACCCTCCAAAACAGGCACCATTTATATACTAGTAACGGAAGAGGGAAAAGTTTTGAAATTAAAGATAAACGTAAATAGATAAAATAAGAAAGCTTCAAAATGATTTTTTTTAAATACTCAAATTCAAATTAAAAAAAAAAAAACAACAGAGAAACAATAAGTTTTAAAGTTTTAAAATTTTAAGGTAAAACTTTCCAAAAAAATGTCATTTCCAAATACTTTCCAACAGTGTACTTGAGAGTAACATTTTTTAAAAATACGATAAGAGAATTGTATGTTAACAACATCACTCAGGTTGATATGACCCAAAACGTTACATTGATTCTTCTATAACAAAACTAAGGTGAAGTATGTTGCAAGATTTAATAAAGATGCTTTAAATTACAGTTGTTCGAGCAGTATCACTAAAGCTGTATTTTTCTAAAACGTCCATAAATTTCGTAATTTTTCAATACAGAAAAATAAGCCTTTTTTTGGTACTAACAATTTTGGTGCCATTTGTGTTAATCGTATGCCGTTCGTCCGAATCCTACTCTGTAATTTCCTCCACTGGACCTCTTCTATATCCTTTCGTTTAGCCACCTCCAGCGTAAAATCCTCCGAAATCGAACTTATGACCTCCTCCGCGTTTTCCACTCTTGCCTTTTCCTGATCCTCCCTTGTAACCCCCAAAATAGTCGCCTCCTATTCCTCTTCCAAATGCTCCCCCTCCTAATCCTCCAAATCCTCCTCTCAACCCTTCATATCCTCCCCCTCCTCCTCCCTCTCCTCTCAACCCTTCATATCCTCACCCTCCTCCTCCCTCTCCTCTCAACCCTTCATATCCTCCCCCTCCAAATCCTCCTCTAAATTCTCCCCCTCCTCCTCCCCCTCTTCTCAACCCTTCATATCCTCCCCCTCCTCCTCCTCCATTTCCGTAATTGCTTCCAAGTCCTATAAAATATGTAATATACATAGTTAAGACTTTATTTACATGTAATATCTAGAAAAGAACAGATGAAACCCAAAACTAGTATATTTAATTTATTTCTGATTCAAAATGTAAATATAATAAAATTATTAATTGTCAATCAGTTAACGGCTAGACGTTCCAATTGATTAACCAGATCATCATTTCAATTAATGAATATTCTTTATCAATTTTCTTGAGTACCTCTTTTCTTATACTCGAAAAAACTGAAAAGAAGTTTGAAGTTTAGCCATTCTATTTATCTTTATTCTTTAACGACATGCATATTCAATTCATTTCAGTGTTAAACGTCTTGGTCAACTATGAAAACCTCAGGACATTTTTATCAAAATTCATTTACAAATTTCAAGGGCAAATCATACAGAAGCTTAATCTGCATTGTCAAAAAATTAAAACAAAAATTATGACATAGATAAGAATGGGATGAATCTATTTTAAAATCAACTTTCTATTGTGTCGTCTTTTGGAAATTTTCAAAACATTTGCACAATTTTTTGCAGTTTGCATTATGAATGGGAAAATATTAAACACAACACACGAAAAATGCATGGCGATGTTTGTTGATCACCGGAGAGCAGCTCAGTTTGATTAAGATGGGGGGGGGGGGGTGTAATGACACCCTTAGAGGCTTAAAGTAATAATTTTATTTCGAAGTGATACTCTCGGATTCTCCAATGATACCCCTTTTTATCGTGCCCCGTTGGTCAATTCCCTGGTCTGTAGACATTCAAGCTGCAGAATAATTTTTTTTTCTATATTTTATCACCAAAATTAAGATGCACTTAAATAAGATAAATAAAAAATTGCTGAAAAAATCAGCTTAGTGCGCCAATTATTTTTCGAGAAAAACGCTTTCACCAAGATTTTACTGGACAACCCTCGTATGTGAATAACGTTCAATCGTACACTGTATTTTTTTTACGATTAACTGATTATACAGACTTTCTAACGGATTGCCATTGTTTCGACCGAGTGGACTACTACCAGATACAAATTCCCATTCCTAATTTAAATTAAATTGAAAAATAAGCAATTTTTGTCTTATAATGTAAAGAATTTTGAGAGATACTCACCGTTAGAACAGCAGTAGCCAAGTCTTTGGTTCATGAGTTGCTGTCCTGGGCGAATTTTACAATATTTCCCGTTTCCACATTCGTAGTCATGGCAACATCTTTGAGAAATGTTGCATTTTTCGTTTTTATCATAGCCAGCTGAAATAGTGATAAAGTTAATATTACTTTATTTGCAAACTATTTTTTTTTTGTTTAAAAATCTGAGATGAATGATAAAAATCCAATTTCTTTATTAAGGTTTTGGGTTATCGAAAGATAAAGATATAATCTAAGGAGAGTGAATGAGATACAAAGATAACTATAGTAGAGACTAGTGGGACTTGCATCGAACAAGCTAAATAAATTTACGAAACAGAATAAAAGTTTTTCTTTTGTTTTAAGTTTTTAATGATGAAGTTCAAGCACAATTGCAATTTTGGATTAGGTCAATTGATTTAATCATATACCCCAGATATTTATTCCTCAAGTAATATAAATTAATTTTTTGTCACTTAATTGCAGATTAATAGTTAACTTCAAATGAATGTGTTTTGTACTTCTTTAAGTATCCGTTAAATCGATAATTATTAAAACACCATTTATGTTCGTTATTCCCAAATTTCATTCAGAATATAGCGTATAAAGTACAAAGTAGCGTATAAAGTACAAAGTAGCGTATAAAGTACACTTACCGGTTACCATGGCGACCAGACAGACAACGGCCATCACAACCAAGAGTTTACCCATGTTGGTTATAAACTCCGAAGACAACCTGATGATCCAGTTTTAGGTCTTATATACTGTCCGTTTATCTGCATCAACCAATCAACGCTTGATTGTTTGATTTATAACAATAAAAATATTGAATTGAATATTAAATTATTTCTATTTATTAAAAACCAAATGATGATAAATTAATACATTATACACTATTGCATAATTGACTTAATTAAATTATATATAGCGAAAAAAACCCACCTTCAACAAACTAAAAACATTTCCTTTAAAGCTTTTTTTCAATAAAATGGAAGAAATATCATACCGACAAGATGTATCGAAAACGTGATTAAGGTTTTTTTTAAAAAAAAAAAACGTTGGAAGGTATTATTTTGATATTGTATTATGTCATTAAATTCGATCAAGTTCAATATTTATGAAGAACTGATGTAAACAATCGGACTTATTTTTGACACAGATTGTCAACGAGCTTGATAAAACTGCTGCCCTCTACAAAAAATTGAATTTTTTAATTAAAATTTGTGCATTTTAAACACGATTAATGTGATCAATGCGAAGTAATTACGGTAATTCCATGTGCACTGGAAATGAATTCTAATACATGCAGTGTGGCAAATTTGAAGTAATTATTATTTTTCATGTGTGCATTGGAAATACATTTCTCTTTTGTTCATTGCTTTATGTTTTATGCACCTCAGTTGGGTATTTAAATATCTAACCGATAGGCAGTTGGGTATTTGAATATCCAAATGATGGCCAGTTGGAACTTTTAAAAATATCCAACTGGTGATAGTTGAATCGATAAAATATACATAGACTAATAACAATGGGTGACGTCATAGAAGTTTTTAAAGTCTAAATAAACTGAGTATTCAACACCTACAAATTCCTATTGTATTTAATTTCATTGAATCTGTTGCTGTTAGGGATAAAATACCTTAAATATACATCTAAAATCGTATATGTACATCAAAGTTCAAATGTAAGTTTAATATCTGAATATCAATTTGGGGGTCTTAATATAAGGGGTACTTAAGTCTAAAACCATACTTATGTTGGACTTAAGTAGACTTAAACTTAAAACGTAAGAAGCGTGCTTAGATTTGACAACTAGTCTTAGCAAAGCATATACATGTATATTATATATATTATATATATTCGTTTTTCTTAGGGGTAAAAGGGGGGTTATGACCACTAATTCCAATATTACTCTCAACATGGCATAGATGTAGATTCACAAATTTTAGGGGATGCTTAAGTTTTAATACTAGTGGGAGCTAGGTTAAAATCACTAATCGTTATAAGTGAATTGTACATAGTAATTATGGATTTGTGCACTACTAAAATGTGTCATAAAAAGGTTTAGAAAACAGAAAAATTATTTGTACAGAGGAGGGTAACTGTTAATAATTTGGAGACACGTTAAAAATATCCATTTCGATTCGTGATTAATATGTAAATAAGAACACTTATAACAAAAAAGTCTTCAGTCTTTCTCTGTTTCGCTGATACATGGGATGGGTTAGAATTCAAAATGTTTTTATTGTTTTGTTTTCTTGTTTATTAGCGGTTCAATTTCAAGTACATGTAAATAGACGTTCAGTTTTCATACCATGTCTTCAAGAATAACAGTGAGTGAACATTCGTCAAACGAACGAATGACAGCAAAAGATAAGTGAAAATATCACAGTCTCGAATGGAAAAAAATCATGCATTTACACTGACCACTTACCACATTAAAACCTTTCTTAGAAATTATACTCAAATTAAACTTTTTCCTAGAAATAAAAAATCCTTTGTCATGATCTAATTATTCAGTTATTAAAGGAAACAAGTCGCAGATAATTAATCTTAAAATGATTTTTTATAACAGCTCAATATTCTGAATATCATTTATTTTTTCATTATCTAAAGAGATTCATTTTAAGTGGATAGAAGGATACAAACTAATTTCTAAGAGTTTTCCAGATTATAAAGAGTTCTAGAGTACCTTTAGAAGGAGAAAAAGATACATACACGCGTACGTGTATCATCGGCAGATTGATTGTCGTTGTTGATGCTATTAATGATGCTGCCGTTGAGTAGGTTGTTTTCATTGGTTTGTTTGTTGTCCATGGCTGTAAGTGGGGGATGTTTCTTTCGGTCCGTTTGTCTGTCTTACTGTTTTTAACACTTTCGTTTCCACGCGATATCACAGAAGCCTTTGAATTTGTAGAATTAAAATATTATACAACTCCCTATGTCATAAGGAAGATAGCTATTCTTTTAAAGACTTTTGAACTTTTACAATGACATTTTACACATTTTCAATGACATTTTACACTACAACTCTCTACTGGGTAATAAAAACCCAATTTATTTTAAGGTCAAAACGTCAATTTATTGAATTCAAACATACTTTGCGATTTTAAAACTTTCATTTGGGGGCGATATCTCAAGAGACTTTTGAGCTTTTGCAGTGCAATTATATCCCATAACTCCTTATGGTCCCGTCTGCCCTTCTCATCCCCCTGCCGATCATAGCATGCTCTTCTTTTTGCATATTCTCTAAAATGAGCTTTTTATTAATGTTATGTTTTATTTCAGACGGGCATATTTTGAACTGTCGTTACTTTCATAAGCCGTATAATTGATTTTATTACTTGTCGTTTTAATCACACATTATTTAATATAATATATAAATATACTTAATATTATACCAGTTGGTTTTAATGAATAACTTAGTTCATATTTCTTTTAATTTCATATGTTTTTCTCTTTGCCTCTTCTGTACATTAGTGTTGTATTTTCTGTAGATTAATTGACAGTGAAAGTCATCGCTTAAAGTGCTGACTCACATACAATCCAATATCTTCAAATTGTTTGTATCTCCCTCACTGCTCAACGGCCGAAAGTGCCGAGTTAAAAAGATAAAAATGATGAAAGCATGTATGACTAATCATGGCTTCATTTTCTGTCATGTAATAATATAAATGACTAATCATGACTATATTTTCTTTTATGTTTGTTTGTATGCTGTTTAAAGATCCTCTCGAGGATTTTCATCCATATGGAGACGCCACCACTTGCCGATGGAGAGCTGCAAATTTTGTCCTATAGTCGACACCCTCGGCCATTGAGCACTGAGGAATCTTTTTCATGCTAGCACCTTCTGCAACAGGGAACATCGGTTTATACGGTCTCATCTAAAGGACTGGTTGGTCTCCAAGTCCCACAGTGGGATTCGAATCTGCGATCAACTCCTTACTTTGCGACTCTAGAGCCGATGTTTTAACCACTGCATCATGCGTGTGACTAAACACGAGTTAAAATTTTACTGGTGCTTCTTTTGATTTATTTCTTTTTCCAGCACTTTTATTTGCAAATTTTGCATTTGAAGTTTCTTTACATGGGCAATACAATTACATTGTGTTATAAGAGATAATGCAATGGATACTTATAAGTTTTTACCTGGTTTAAAAAAATATCAAACATTTTACATTTAAAAAGAACTGCTCGCGAAAATTAATAGTAGCCAACTGCTCTACTGCTGGTAAATCGCGAAATAAAGTCATGAAGAAAAAGTTGGTTTAAAGTAGTCTGTAAAGCGGAAAACTGCTTTAAAATCGTGATATATAGGTAAGAGTCAATAAACGACCCACTTTAACCCCTTAAAATTATTGAATTTTCTTAGAATCAACTGCTTCGAATGCTGTCAATTTACAAATAAGAAATTTGCATGTATCTTATTAAAATGCATTGTAATAGAATGGTTGTCAAGAAGAATTTTTATCAAATTATGATTTATGACAGAGGAAATATTGAAATTAAAACAATCATTACATTAAGGAGATTGGATCCTGTTATGTAAGGTATTAAGAATAAAATAACACGTTTATTTTAGTAATTTTAACACCTAGCTTAATTAGGATACAAAACAAAAGTAGGGGTCAATGTTCCTCCTTTGGTGCATTGAAGCTTTTAGTATGACCTTTTTGCATAAACATAAAATCAAACAAATAAATCAATTTTAAAAAGATTTTCCTCTATTATTTTTTTAATCAAAATAAATTATTTAGCAAATACCGCCATTTCATCACAAATGGTCATTTTAAAAGTTGTTACCAAAAATCATTTTTCATCGCATAGTCAATTATATGATATTTCTGTACTCAAAAACGCCATTTTTCTGGCATGAAAAGTTAAAAAGCAATAAAATTATTTGAAATCTCTTCCTTGAAAGTAATTACATTTTTTTTTTTTATAATGTTTGAGTATCATTTTGAAAATAGTCGTTCCAGATCGATTCCGACATCATTTTACCGGTAAGAATCTTAGGACCTTATCAAATTATTTGTATATTTTTACACTTTCCGTTTGGTATCCAATTTTATCTAATTTTCACACATATGGTATGTTGCGTTCCTTGTAATAAGATGGATATGGTTTCATTTAATCGAAGACTTAGAGAGAAAAACCGAGAGATTTCGGAACATATGGTACACAGGGTTTCCTTAAATTTCATTTTAACACTTTTAGATTGTCGCCCGCGAAGCACGGTGGTTAGAGCGTCTACTCTAGCGTCAAGTAGTAGAGTTGATCCTTACGTCGCGGGTTCAAATCCCACTCTGGGAAGTGGACACCGGTTCTTTGGATGAGACCATATAAAAAATCGAGTTCCCGTGTCGCAGTAGGTGCTGGCACGAAAAAGGTCCCTCACTGCTTAATGGCCCTAAGTGCCCAGTATACATGTAGGACAAAATTTGTAGGAATCCACCGGCAAGTGATGGGTGTCTCTATATGAGTGAAAAATTCTCGAGAGGAACGTTAAACATGCAATCCTTCAATCTTTTAGATTATAGTGAATGAAAGCGTCATTGCGACGTTTGGTTATTTCCTTTTACAAATTCTCATAAAAAACAGGGGAATCTTCTTTTTGGCCAATATAGATACACATTAAACTCAACTGTTTTCCAATTTTGAACAGTTAAGTTTAATCTCCCCCCCCCAAAGCAATTGCCGGAATTATCTAAAATTTGGTCATGGACATTGTTGGTAAGGTATTGTTAA